CCCGCGGGGTCCGACCGGGCCAGATTGAAAAAAACTGAATCAGTGATTTTCCATCTGGCCCACGCGAAATCCGCACAGGTCCAACTAGAAAAACAAAGAATCAATTACTCCGACGGAAGGACCCCACATGAGAATCTCTTTAGCTTGCATGGGGGTATCCTCCTGCCCCTTCCCTTCTCCCACCTACTCTTGCCTCCTCGTTCTCCTCCTGTCTGCTCCTCCTCCTGCCTCAATCCCTGCCTCTTCCTCCTCTTCTTGCCTCCTCCACCTCCTCCCCCTCCCCCTCGTTATGCTTCCTCCCCCCCATTCCCCCTGCCCCTCCTGCCTCCTGCCTCCTCCTCCTGCTCTCCCTCTCCCTTCTCCTCCTCCTCCTCCTCCTCCTCCTCATCCCCTGTCCTCCTCCTCTCCCTCTCCCTCATCCGCTTCCTCCTCCTCCTCCTCCTCCTCCTCCTCCTCCTCCCATCCCTCCCCCCTCCTCCCCCCCCTCCTCCTCCTCCTCCTCCTCCTCCTCCTCCTCCTCCTCCTCCCTCCTCCTCCTCCTCCTCCTCCTCCTCCTCCTCCTCCTCCTCCTGCCTCCTCCTTAGGCCTCCTGCCCCCTCCTGGGGCCTCCTGGGGCCTCTTGGGGCCTCCTGGAGCCTTCTGGGCCTTCCGGGACCTACTGGGGCCTCCTCGGGCATTCCTCCTCCTCCTTTTCCTCCTCGTCCTTCCTCCCCTCAGCCTCTTCCTCTTCCTGCTTTCCTGTCTCGTCCTGCATCATCCCTCCTCCTTTTCCTGGCAATCCTCCTCCTCCTCGTCCTCGTGCGGAACACGACCCAGAGGAAGCGCACGACGTGCGTCCCAGCCGAAACGCGCCGGAGGACGACCTAGAGGAAGCGCGCGCCGGAGGATGACCCGGAGGAACCACGTGAGTTGCGGGACCCATAGGAAGGCTCCCGCCTGACGCGTCCTCACAATTCACTTACAAACGAGGCTCCCGCCTGATACTTCCTCCAAATTCAGACCTGAGGAGTCCAAAAGTGACGACAGTTACAGGAATCCGATGACCCGCTTGGATTAGTAACATGATATGCGGGCCCCATAGGGAAGGGGCTCCCGCCTGACGCGTCCTCACAATTCACTCACAGACGAGGCTCCCGCTTGATACTTCTTCCAAATTCAGACCTGAGGAGCCCAAAAGTGACGACAGTTACAGGAGTCCGATGACCCGCTCGAATTCGTAACATGATCTGCGGGCCCCATGGGGAGGGGGCTCCCGCCTGGGACTTGCTCACAATTCACTGACAAACGAGGCTCCCGCCTGATACTTCCTCCAAATTCAGACCTGAGGAGTCCAAAAGTGACGACAGTTACAGGAATCCGATGACCCGCTTGGATTAATAACATGATATACGGGCCCCATAGGGAAGGGGCTCGCGCCTGCCGCGTCCTCACAATTCACTCACAGACGAGGCTCCCGCTTGATACTTCTTCCAAATTCAGACCTGAGGAGCCCAAAAGTGACGACAGTTACATGAATCCGATGACCCGCTCGGATTAGTAACATGATCTGCGGGCCCCATAGGGAGGGGGCTCCCGCCTGAGACGTCCTCACAATTCACTCACAGACGAGGCTCCCGCCTGATACTTCCTCCATATTCAGGCCTCAAGTCAGCGAGTAGTGATGATGATGATGATGATGATGATGATGATGATGATGATGATGATGATGATCGTTCGATGCCGATGATGGTGAGTGATCGTGGGATGGTGATGGTGATGCTAATGGTGATGATGATGATGAGTGGGGAGTGATGGTGATGGTGATGATGATGCGGAGGAGGAAGCAAAGAGGAGCAGAGGAGAGGGAGGAGGACGAGAGATCCTGCGCGGAGGGTGTGCAGAGAAAACAAGAACCCCACTTAGGATGCGGGGAATGATTTTGAATAGAAACCTCCCGCGGAATCCGCACGGGGCCCGCGACTGCATTCCGCCTCCTCCGATTTCTGGGGGAGGCACATGGAAAAAACACTGATTCAATGATTTTCCATCTGGAGCGGCCCCAAAAGAAATCCCTTCAGGCGGCCCAATATAGATTCCTCAAGGCGGACCATTGGGAATTACGTAAGGCGGCCCAATATAAAAACCTTACGACGATCCAATGCACATTCCTTGAGGCGGCCTAATAGAGATTCCTTCAGGCTGCCCAATAGAGATTCCGCAAGGCGGCCCAATAGAGATTCGCTGAGGCGGCCCAATGGAAATCCTTCCAGGCGGCCCCATTTGGAAAACCACTTGGAACCGTTCCCAGCGTTTCCGGAATATGAAACTAGAACCACGCGCGCGCTTCGCGCGCGCTTAGGTTCTAGCTAGGAGGCGAGCTTGAGTCAACGAAAGTCGCAGGGAAGGGGGCAGGGGGAAGAAGGCCAGAGAGCGCTGAAGGATACAAGTACTGGAACCCTCTTGTGATTTTGTGGGGGGCCTCGTCCGGCCGCTCGCTGGGAGTTTGACGTAGCTTCTCGGGAGCCTCTGAACCTGTCGGGGGCCTCCTGGAAGCAGGTTCGAAGCATTTTGGGGGCCGATTTGGGGCTTCTCGGGGCCTCCTTTGGGCCTCTTGGGGGTCTCCTGGGGCCTCTTGAGGGGCCTCCTTGGGGCCTCCTGGCGGCCTCTTGGGGCGGAAGGCTCGAGCTTGCGGTTCGTGGTCCCCCTCTGGGCCCCCTCTTGGGCCCGTCTTGGGGCCCTCTTGGGCCATCTTGGGCGCCTCTTGGGCCGTCTTGGGGCCCTCTTGGGCTGTCCTGGGGCCCTCTTGGAAGCTTCTTGGGCCGTCTTGGGGCGGTCTTGGAGGCCTCTTGGGCCGTCTTGGACGCGGTGAAAGCCCAAGATGCGAACATGCGAAAATATACGTTTTCCCATAGGAATGGCACGATTTTTGTTTCTTGGACCTCTCTTGGGGTGCCTCTCGGAACGTCTTGGGCTGATTTTGGAAGCCTTTTGGCGCCTCTGGGCGGCGTTTTGGCGCCTCCTGGGATATGTTGGGCCGGAAGCTCGGAATTCGAGAGTGGCTTTCTCCTTCTGGGACCCCTCTCGAAGTCGTCTTGGGGTTCTCTTGGGCCGTCTTGGGGCCGTCCTGAGCCACTCGTGCGCAGCCTTGGAGCGCTCCCGGAGGCCTCCTAGGCCGTCTTGGAGGCCTCTTGGGCCGTCTTGGACGCGGTGAAAGCCCAAGATGCGAACATGCGAAAAATATACGTTTTCCCATGGAATGGCACGATTTTTGTTTCTTGGACCTCTCTTGGGGTGCCTCTCGGAACGTCTTGGGGTGCTTTTGGGAGCCTTTTGGCGCCTCTTGGCGGCATTTTGGCGCCTCCTGGAGCCTCTTGGGCCGGAAGCTCGGAATTCGAGGTTGGCTTTCTCCGTCTGGGACCCCTCTCGAACTCGTCTTGGGGCTCTCTTCGGCCGTCTTGGGGCCGTCCTGGGCCACTCGTGCGCAGCCTTGGAGCGCTCCCGGAGGCCTCGTAGACCGTCTTGGGCCGCCTCTTGGGCCGTCTTGGACGGTGAAAGCCCAAGAGGCGAACATGCGAAAAATATACGTTTTCCCATAGGAATGGCACGATTTTTGCTTCTTGGGCCTCTCTTGGGCTGCCTCTCGGAGCGTCTTGGAGGCTTCTGGGACCTTCTTGGTGTCATGACAGGCGTCTTGGAAGGCATCTGGAGCCATCGGAGAGCGTTCCGAAGCCGCCTGCGAACGATCTTGGACGGCGTCCGGCGGTCCGACGAGCCTCCGGGCCCCCCGGGGCCCACATTTGTGGTCGGGGTCCCGGCCCCGGGCCCCCGGACCCGGTGCGCCGTTATATGTATACGTGGAAACTTGCGCCCAGAAGCAATCCAAAACAAACTCCCACAAAAACCATCGGAAAGCTCTCAGAAGCCCTCAGAAAGCTCCCAGAAGCCTTCAGAAAGCTCCCAGAGGCCGTCAGACAGCTCTCAGAAGCCATCACAAAGCCCGAAGAAAGCTCCCAGAAAGCTTCCAAAAGCCATCATCAAACAAGTTCCAGAAGCCCTCAGAAAGCTCCCAGAAGCCCTCTCTCAGAAGCCTCCAGAAACCCTCGGACAACTCTCAGCAGTCTTCAGAAAATTTTCAGAAGCCCGCCCGCGCTAGAAATAAGCTGCTGCACTTCTCCGGCGCTGGAAGTAGGGGGCGACGCAAGCCCGCGCGCGCTGGGAACGAGCGGCCCCGACCATCCCACGCTGGAAATAGGCGGCTACATCCCGCCCGCGCTGGGAACGGGCGGCTCGGGCCCGCCCACTGTCAATGGGCCGAGGCAGCCTGCCCACGCTGGAAATCAACTGCTCGCGCCTCCCGCCCTGGAGGACAGATTCGCGGTCTGCCCTGCGACGGGACCCCGCGGGGCCGCGTTCCCATGGGCGCCGCGGCCCGCCCCGGCCGCAGCGGTGCCCCCCCCCGATGCCGCTCGCAAGGCCCGACCCAACGGGAGCTCGCACTTATTGGGGTCGCAGCGCGCCGCCAGATGTGCGCGGAGACTCGAGGTTGACCGCCCCCAAACTGGACGCCGATGCTGCCAGGTGTTCCCCAATCTGGGGCTTCCTCGGATCGGCTGCTGCTCGCGCCCCCATGCCCCCTCGCGCCGCCTTGCGGCGTCGGCGGGAGGGGGCTCGCCCGTGAAATTCGCGATCCGTGATGCTCTGCTCTCGCGGACGATGGCCGAGGGCCCCGGGCGCGGGCTGGCCTGCTGAGACTGACTGGGCCCCAAAGGCACCTCTGAGCTGGCCGCCGACGTCGCCGCGCTTGCCTCCAGAACAACAACTGCTTCAGCTGACCGGTCTCCACTACGTCTGCGTTTAATCGAGGGCCGTTGCGCCGCGTTCGCTGCCTCCGCGTTTCAGGCCTGGGCCTCGGCCGCAGTTTCGCGAAGAAGGCCTTTCGATAGCGGCTTTGAGCATGTTGTGTAGCGTTCCTTTGTGCGCGCGAATATCACCCCTATCATTTTCAATTCGCTCATACTCACCTCCGTTGAAACCGGGCCCTCGAACGATACTGGGATCTCCGAGCACGAGCCGTCCAAAATGCTGCACACCTTGGCTGGAGAAGGCGAGCCGGCATCGGGGCCCACCACCGCCGAAGCGTTGAGCTGCCAGGCCAGGTCCCGGTGCTCTCCCTACCGCCTTCAGACTGCGAACGATCTCAGCCACGCAGGGCCTCTGGCTGTCCAGCTTCTGGCGCAGGGCATCGTGGTGGTCGACCGCCTTAGATCGCTCATGTTGGATGCCGATGTGCTTCTTGCGGGCAATGGTGGCCCGCTGCGAGAGAGGTGGCACGTATGTGGCGGCGGATTCCTGTCGGGACCTCTCCTGCAAAGTTCGCTTGTGCCGCTGGGCCCCTGAAGGATACCCTACTCGCTGGAACATTTCGATCAACTGTTTGCGCTCTTCAGCGCCGAGCTTCTCGGAGGCGGATGAGACACCAGGCGAAACACACTGAACACCAGGAGGACGAGGGAGGCAACAGGTCTCGATCGCGCTCTTGCCTCCGCCGCTGCCCCTGCTGCCGCGGACGCCTTTGCCTCCGCCTCTGCCGCCGCCCTGAGCAGTTGCACCATCAGACCAAGCTCCTGCGGGCCCAGGGGGCGCCGCAGTTGACACAGCAGACAGCTTGTCCCCACAGGCCCTGCAGAAACAACTCCCCTTGGCATTCTTTTTGCACCCACACTGGGAGCACGCTGGCGCCTTCTTTTTTTCACCCACACTTGTCCATTAGCTGTGGCAACACTCCGCCTTCTTTTTTTCACACGTCTAGTGAGCGCCACTCACGGTACTCTGAGCGCCGCCAACGGGGCCACGCACCTGGAGCGGCCCCCACACTCCTCGGCATGGGAATGCCGTAGTACACAGACCGAGTATGCGAGCTGGTGTGCGCATGCGAAGGAGATGCGCTCTTGCGCTTGATGCCAGGGCCGCGAACTCCACGCGCCAACCTCTCGGGTCCTTGAACAACGCCTCCGAACATGAGCCAAAATGGCGACGGTTCCTTTACCCCTTCCTCCTCCCCCTCCCCCACCGACCCCTATTACCTTATACATGCCCGCCTTTGTCGCACCCCCAAACGTGTCGGTAGGGAGGGCCAGGCGTTTCGCCTGAGACACCCTGACCACGTGTGATGCTGAAGCTTCAAGTTTGCGGCAAATTCACGTCTGGAGAGCTGGCCGTGTCCAAACGTGTGTTCTTGCTTCGGCGCCGCGCATATCTGTATTAAACGTTTGCAGCAATTTCTCGGATGGAAGAACGCCGCGCACATCCGCACTAAAAGTGTGCAGCTGTTTCGTGGATGTACGGCGGACCGTGTTCAACATGTTGTTGTTGTTGCCTGACCGCCGCTCACATTCGTGTTTTCACTTCATGGGTGGAGGACGGCTCCTTTTCAATATGAGTCTCCCGCCTTAGCGCCGCGCGCATTCGACTGAAAGGTGCGAAGTCGTTTCACGTAGGGAGGGCGGTTTCGTGGACAACAACTGTTCTCGCCCTAGCGCCGCGCGCATTCGTCTTATAAGCGCACTGCAGTCTCCAAAGCTCATATGGCTGAAGTCCCAGGAATGGCGTTCTAGGGCGATTTAAGATTGACAGGAAGCAATTGTCACGTTGATTCTCGGCTTGACACTCCCAGGGATGGTGTTCTCGCTCGGCGTAAGACTGCCAGGACGTAACAGTCACGTTGATCCGCGGCGTTGCAAACCGAACAATCACGTTTTGGTGCAATTGAGGAGCCTCCAGCGGTTGTTGTCTAACGCGCCACTTCCCGACATGAAAATACATGTTGAAGGGACCGGAACAGGAGCTGCAAAGGTCAAAATGACCACTCCCGGCGGTTGACTTAGCCATCCGCCGCAGGGCGATGTTGTGCGTGGCAGTACTCGGGAGCACTGCCAGGGAGGCCAGACACCCCTCACAAGCCTTCCCTTGCTCGCGGAACTCAAGTCCGCGAGGTGCGCCGATCAGGATGCACCCAATGACAACCTTCCCAGTAGGAGTCGTGACCGCACCCCCCGATGCGGCGAGGACTATAAAGTCAGGGCGCTAGGCCTACACTCCCTGGGTCGGCTGCCACGGACCGCCGTCACGGCACACTTGCGTCTGCTGGAGGCCCCCTCTACCTCCTTGGCCTTGATGCCCTCCGCCGCCTCTGGGGAAAGACGGCCGTCGACAGATCCTGCCAGCATCAAGTTACCCCTGGCCGCCACGAAGAGGGAACGAACAGGGAGGGCTTATTGCAGCATCAGTGATGAGTCTTGGGCTTAAACTGATCCTCCTCCTCCTCGCCCTCCTCCTGCTCCTCCTCCTCCTCCTCCTCCACCTCCTCCTCCTCCTCCACCTCCTCCTCCGCTTCCTCCTCCTCCTCCTCCCCAATCCTCCGCCCTCCTCCCTCCTTATCCTTATTCCTTATTAGAATATACTCCTACTCCCCCCTCAGGCCGGCAGATAGCGGGCGCATCCGGGTGGTCCCATCCTAACCTGTAAAAAACAATACAAAATCAACATTTTTCTTATTTTTTCCTCTCGGCATGGACGTCCTGTCGTCCACGGCGATAATCCATTGCAAAAAATACCACAAAGAGCACACGCGCGCGTTCATGTCAGAATCCTACCGAACACCGTGTGTTTGCAAGCATTTCAACATACAAACATCAAAAACCAAATGCTTTTTTTCACAAAAAATTGTACAAATTTCCCGCCCGGGCTCTCTTGCTGAAATCATAGGAAAACCATGGGAATCTTAAGAATTCGGTCAAATCCAGCGATTTCACGTCATCGCGCGGTGCACTCGCGATGCTCTGTCATGCACCCAGGCCGCGAATCCTGTGCAAAAAATACTACAAAGAGCACACTCGCGCGTTCATGTCAGAATCCTACCGAATACCGTGTTTTTGCAAGCATTTCAACATAAAAACATCAAAACCCAATGCTTTTTCACAAAAATGCTTTGGGGTGTCCTGTCAGACCGTCGGGCTTCCTCCAGCCACCTCTGGCTTCCTGCGGTGTACCGGGCCATTCTCGACTCGTCTGGCAATGCGTGCGCGGCATTCAACACGCGCTCGCCAGTTCCCGTCGGCAACCGCCATCGCGGCCGCATCAGCTGTACCAAACCGGCTGGCCGGTGTGACTTCGGCCCCCAGTTGTGCCAGCTTTGCTTCTTATGTTGTGGGAGGGCGGGTGGGACTGGGCATGCCATGCTTGACTCGCTCGAGCTGGCTAGCTTGACTCCTACTCCTACTCCTACTCCTCCCTCCTTCTCCTCCTCCTCATCCTCCCCTCCTCCCTTCTCCTCCTCCTCCTCCTCCTCCTCCTTCTCCTTCTCCCTCCTCCTCCTCCTCCTCACCCCTCCTCCCCCTCCCCTCCTCCTCCTCCTCCTCCTCCTCCTCCTCCTCCTCCTCCTCCTCTCATTCTCCCTCCTCCTCCTACTCCTCCTCCTCCTCCTCCTCCTCCGCCTCCTCCTCTCCTCCTCCTCCTCCTCCTCCTCCTCCTCCTCCTCCTCCTCCTCCTCCTCCTCCTCCCCCCAGAGACATGCTGACCGGTTGCGCCTTCACGCCAGGGGGGGAGCTCCTCGCCCGGAGGTGCGCCAAAAGCAGCGCCTGCCGCTGGGGCAGCGCCCGGCAGCCAGCGGGCCGAGCAGGGGCCGCGAGGGGCAGGAGAGCGCAGAATCGAGTCCCAAGCCAGATCCCAGGCACCCTCGGGTCATGAAAAAATCACGACGGAAGGCTTGTCTCTAAAGTTTCAGCCTCTGAGGGCCCTGTTCTGGGCCTCGGGACCGTCGAAAAACGGCTCGCGATGAGAAACTGGTCCCTGGGAATGGGTCTGGGCCTTTGGGGGTCGCGTCATGAAAAAAACATGACGTCGAATCAAGGATCGGCTATCGAAACCAACCTGACTGGCAGAAATCGGGAGCCGAGTCGAGAAAAGCCGAATCGGCGGAAATCGGCCGTCCAGTAAAGGCCTCCAGTGAGAAGCCGAAATCCAAGTCGGCATCCGGAATCGAATCGAATCGGAAGCGGGATCGAGTCGAGATGGATGGGTGGGCTTGACTGCCGCTCCTTGCACGGCGTCCACTGGCAGTCGGCCGGGTAGGGATCCTGGTCGCGCTTCCAAGCATCCTGCCGCCACGATTCCGGACACCAGGACTACCTCCCCCTCTTTCTCCTCTCCCCAACATTTGTTGTATGTCTCGCACTGGATGTGTTCAGACACGCCAGAATCCAGAGGCCACGGCCTCACCCACCACCCACCCGATCCAAAGTCGTGCGCGGCGGCAGCAAAACCGAAAACCAACCGAACCTGACAGCGAATCCGAAACCGACCGAGATCGACAGGCCGAAAGCAGGCAGGAACGGCGCAGCGACGCGGCAACGACGCAATAACCGACCGCACCGACCCGACCGAACGCAACCGACTGCGACGCACCCGAACCGACCGAACCCCTAACCTGGACGCTTGTCCGCAGCGGTGGTCGTTCGTTCGCTCGTGCCGCCACGCTCCCCGCTGGGGCCAGAGGCGGGAAGGGGGGGGGGGGAGGGCAGAGCGACCCAGACGTCGGGCCGCTTCCAGCGTTCCGGTGTTGACGGGCGGGAGGAGGAGAAAGAGGAGGAGGACCTTCCCCTCCTCTTGGACACCCGAAATGGGTACCGAAAGAATGGGTACAATGCCCAACAGCAAGTGTTGTCCCAAACCAACAGCGGCCGCTGTTGGGCGGGAGGCCTCCTGTCTCAAAAAGACACAGGCCGCGGCGGCGTGGACAGCGAGTCCTGTTCAGAATGAACAAGAGCTGCTGTTGGGCATCGTACCCAATCTTTCAGTACCCCATTTCGGGCGTGCAGACTCCTCCTCTCTCCCCCGTCCTACCCATGGCAGTGGTAAGTGGAAGACGGGCCCCTCAGACGTGGGAGCCGGCTCTTCGCCCCGAGTCGTTCCTTTGTGTACCCTCCCGAGGCCCGGCGAGTGGCCTCCCCGTCGTGGCTCGGCAGGCCTGGCGGCCCCAGAGCGCAGCGCAAGGCTCTGCGGCGAGGCGCGGACGCCCCGCAGCGTCCGATCGCCAGGGTCACCAGAGCACTCGGTGTGGACGGCCTCCATCCCGAATTGGAAACACACACACACACACGCACACACACACGCACACACACACACACACACACACACACGCACGCACGCACGCACGCACGCACGCACGCACGCACGCACGCACGCACACACACACACACACACACACACACACACACACACACACACACGCACACACACACACGCACACACACACACAACGCCCGTGTCGGCAAGCCCCTCACTCGGACTGCGCCCCAAGAGGACAGGACAGGGAGCTCCAGGTCCCTCCCTCCCGCAGCGCTCAGCTCATGAGGAGGGGCTCGCCTCCTTCGTTACCCGCAACTGCATGAGGTTGGTTATTTGCGTGAAACTAATGTACCCAAACGAGCGACGAGAAAAGGGTCTTACGTGAGATAGCATAGCTACTTTAGTTGGTGGCGCACGTAGGCCGCCAGCGTTGCATGCTACATTGAAAACAAAGGCGCTTACGCGCGACCTTACGCGCGAATGTCTGGGCAATCGAACCTTTGGTTTGTCAATCAGTTGAGACGAACCGCGATGCCATGACACGCCCAGTCCAATGTGCACCTCGGAGTCGACAAACATACCCAGAGCGATGAACGTGCCAACCTGAGACGGTCAGGCAGGATGCATGGGCAGGAATATAACTATGAGAAGGATCGTATCGTACTCGTGGGGTTCTGGTGTCGCCACACTGCTGCCACTGTGATGCTGGTAAATGGAGGGGGAGGAGGGTGACGGCGACGATAATGAGGCCAACGAGGAGGACGATGGCGAGCGGTGGGAAGGAGTGGCAGGGACCAGGGGTGAGCGCTGGACGAACGAGGAGAGTCCGACCACGCGCATGACGGCACCCCCCGCTTCTTCAACTCATCACTCATCAACCTCATCCTCATCAGCATCAACAACACCATCGGCATCACCGTCTGTATCGTGAGCACCAGCAGCAGCACCAACATCACCATCAATATCATCATCGGCATCAACATCAACATCTCCATTATCCAAGCACGCCCCGCGTGTTCGAATTATGCGCGCATGAGGCCCTCTTCGGAGGTAGCTCCCGTCTGCCCGCGCTTGACCGCGGCAAGCTCACGCCGCGCTGGAGCGGCGGCGCGGCGACGCTGGCCCGGGCGCTCACGGGTTGCTCTTCACCCGCTGCCTGATCTCGCCCAGTGCTGAACGATATCCGACGTCAGATCGTGGCGATCGTGCAAATTGGCCGATGGACGAGATGCCAGAAGCTAGCACCCACGTCATGATAACATGAACCTGCCGTAGCGAAAAAGTCGTGCTGGTCTGGGCTACTCCCAGGGGCGTGCAGGGTAAGAGGGGGCGGAGGGGAGAAGGGGGCGGGGGGGAAGGGAGATGAGACGGCGAGGGAAAGGGGCAGGCGAGGAAGGCGGAGGAGGAGGAGGAGGAGGACGAGGAGGAGGACGAGCAGAGAAAGGAGGAGGGAGCAGGGGGACCGACGGAGAGCGGGGGGAGCAGGGGGAAGACGAGGAGATGGCGAGGCGCGGGGGGGGGAAAAGCAGGAGGGGAGTAGGAGGAGGAGGACGAGAAGGGGGAAGGGGAGGCAGGGAAGCCCGCTGTCCATGTAGAGGTTCAGGTCCAGAGAGACCACCTCGAGCCCGAGCTCTGGGTGCTCCTGAGCCCATCGAGCAGCAGGGAAGGCACAAGAAAGCGACACACTTGACAGCGACGTCACCTGTGCGAGGCTCGCCACTGGTGAAACTGGCGGCGATCACCCGAGGGTGTCATCCACCTCGCAGGTGCTGCCCTGGCCGGTTCCGAGCCCAGAGCGGGCCTCACCATGACCGGTGGGGTCGATGCTTGACGCCCCCCGACACGTGCTACCGGAATGCCCACGGCCGTGCCCGACCCACATGAGCGAAGTTGCAAAATGGATGGGCCCATTCGAGGCCAGTGACGATATGCAAGTTCACACCATCCCCTGTGAGCGCTATGTAGGAAACCTGTATTAGCAGGGCGGCACCGGAGGAAAGGAAAAGCATGGAGGAGGAAGGACGGACAAGGGCTCGTTTTGGGTCTGCGTGGGTTCCGAAGACGCTCCTGGGAGCCTTTCGTAACCACCTGAATGGCCACAGAGGCTCCTCCAGTGGCATCTGTGGCCTTCAGTGGCCTCTAATAGCCTCCAGTGGCCCCACTGAGTCTCCAGTGGCCCCCAACGGCTCCCCAATGGCTCTTCCAGTGGCCTCCAGTGGCCTCCAGTGTCCCGTGGTACCTCCAGTGGCACATCCAGTGGCCCCCCTGCGAACACGATGACGCGAGTTCTGTGCTTGCCAAACAAGCGATGCTCGAACCCCTAGGGCAAATGAAAAGGGGTGCATGCGCATGAAAAGTTACAAGTTGCGACACGCGGCAAAACAATACATGAAACGAAGAGGTTGTGCAATTCCCGAGTTGCGATTGCTCGCGCGTGCGACAATTTACACAGTGCGGTCACTCGAAGGTCACTTCATGTTTTAGTCGGGTTGCATAACATAAACACTGTACGCAACAATAATGCGATGTTTGGGCTCAGCTGGTTCAGCTGGAACGCGCTGGTACGTCGTCATCGTTTACACTGCGTACCAAATCAATTATATGCGCCACTACAGGGATGTTGCAGCCATGCTGGTACACGAAATCATGGTCGGGTAAACAACGAAGAAGGGTAGCACGACGGCGCCTTGTACCAGCTGAAATCCGGAAAGTAAAACCTCCGATGGCCATTGCATCAACGACAAAGTCATGAGGATGCGAGTTCCAGATGAGTGCTGAGTAGAGACGACGACCACAACAACGGCTAACAGCAGTAATCAACCAAATCAAGTGAAGAGGACGTGCCCCGCCCCGAAACATCACTGCAAGCCAAAATATCCTTGACTATCTCATGGACCGCAAGCCATAATATCCAAACACACTGCCTGCATTCGCCGTGCGCTTCCAGGAAGACGGCTACGTGCACACGCCAGCCACCAAACAATGCAACGCGTGGCTCAGAATGCCCCGAGCTGCAGGATGATTGATGCAGCGGGGACATGATCTCTTACGCTAGATAGCTTGCTGTGCTGACCCCGTCGGCAGCGGCTTTGTCAACGCCCGCTGTACACACGAAAGAGCGAAAGCGCCACACAGAATCAGGACCAATAGAACCTACACACATCGACAATCGCTGGGTGGGTCGAACCGCAGAATGCGGCAACCCTAACCTCGCAGTACTGTCCCAAACCTCCCCGCGGAAGTTCTTGCCGCAATCTCTCCACCTCCATGCATCTTGGTGGTATATCCAGAAGCACAGTATGCGCTCCGTCTCCCGTTCCTGCCGCATTCCATCAATTGGCTACTTTCCCAGCGCATTCCTGCCGTATGCCCTTCCTTACTGTCCGTCTCTCCGCCTCCCCTCCCGGGAGTCCCCAAAAGCCCCCAAAGGCCTCCTGGGCCATCAGGGAGAGAGAGAGAGAGAGAGAGATCTATATATATAGAGAGAGAGAGAGAGAGAAAAAAAAAAAAAAAAAAAAAAAAGAGAAACAATAAAACATAGAAAGAGCGAGAGAGAGAGGGAGGGGGGGAGAGAGAGAGAGAGAGAGAGAGAAAAAAAAAGAGAGAGAGAGGAACAAAAAGCGAGAGAAACAAACACAGAAAGAGAAATAGAGAAAGAGAGAGAGACAGCTGAAGCCTAAAGCACGTGAAATCTCGATCCTCGAATCCTCCTCGCGATCTCCTCCCCCATCGTACCGCTCCCACCTCCCTTACCATGAGCCCCATCTCCACTCACAGCGTTCTCCGATGTGCTCCACGCATCTTCCGGAGGCCTCCCGAATGGGGTCCAAGTAGATAGGGTCGGAGGATCGGGCCGTATCGCCGACGCATCGGCGACGTCCGCATGGAGATGCTTACGCTCCACATGGAATAGAATCGCCGATGCCTCGCCGATGCAGCCCGATTCACCGACCCCATCTACTTCGACCCAAGTTGGGCGGCCCGGACCCTCACCACCCGAAAATCACAACCTTCGCGAACGGCCATTTCCACCGCATCTTTGGCCCTCTTGTTGCACCCCGCCTCTGAACAACCGCCACTGCGGTCCTGCGCTCTTGCCCTGTTGCGTTCCCACTCCTCCCTATCCTGCTCGATTTCTCCTCCCTCCTCCGCTCCCTCCTCCCTCCCCCTTCTGAGCATCATTTAACCGATATCCATCCCCAGGGTCGAGGGTTCAAAGGCCCCGCCCCCCACCCCCAAAAAAAATATGATGGGCCCCAGGGTTCACAGTCTCCCCCATGATGGGATGGGGGGACGACGACGACGACGACGACGACGACGACGACGACGACGAGGACGACGACGACGACGACGTCGACACGGACGACGGACGACGGACGACGGCGACGACGGACGACGACGGACGACCACGACGACGCCGCCGCCGCCGACGACGACGAAGGCGACGACGACGGCGACGACCACGCCACGCCCACAGGGCCACGACCACAGGGTAGGGGATACTCATCCAGCAGGGGTGGGGCGGGGGTGGAGCGACCCCGGAGCATTGGAGGGGGGGGAGGGAGGCGGAGCTCTGGATCACATATGCTGTCCCTTTCGGGTCTCGCAAGACCTATCCCCACCTGAGCGGGTGCCGTGATGGGCTGAGATTCCATGGACCAGTGGGGATGGGGATCGTTTAGACGATGCTCGCTGTAATCCCTGAAATCCTCCTCCTCCTCCTCCTCCACCGTCCTCCTCCTCTTTCCCCTCCACCACCATCCACTTCATCCCCCCCCACTCTTCCGACTCCCGCCTACGCTTTCTCACCTCCCTCCTCCTCCCTCCTCCTCCCCTCCCTCTTCCCCCCCCTCCTACTCCCTGTCCCACTCCCTACCCCTACCCCTCCTCCTCATCCTCCTCTTCCTCCTCCTCATCAGCATCATCATCAGCATCATCATCAGCATCATCATCAGCATCAGCATCATCACCTCATCACCATACTCAGCATCCTCCACAACTCCCCCCCTCCAATTGGTGTCGCTGACGTTGTTGTTGAACTGTGCGCAATCGGTCGGGCTGTCGTGACAGGCGCACCTCCGACACGCCGACGGAGCCGTGGGGCATGCTCGCGGAGAGAAGCACAGACAGGGCGGCGCTCCAGAGTCGCTTTGCTTTGTTTTGTTATCCTCCTCCTAATCCTCCTCCTCCTCCTCCCCTTCCTCCTCCTCCTCCTCCCCCTCCTCCTCCTCCTCCTCCTCCTCCTCCTCCTCCCCCTCCCCATGGTGCAGCAGCAAAGAGAGCGGCACCAGGAAAAGAGGGGAAACCAGAACGGGCGGCGGAGGGGCAGGGCCAGGCACGAGGAGCAGAGGGAGCACGGCCGAAGACCGAGCGGCTGGGAGGCGCGGCGACGAAGAGGGCACGAGGAAGGACGACGAGGAAGGCGACGAGGGACGGGACGAAGGAGGACGAGGGCACGAGGAAGGACGACGGCGACGAACAGGGCACGAGGAAGGGCTGCGGAGGAGAGGACAGGAGGGGGGAGAACGGGGGGGGGAGCACGGAGCCAAACGAAAGGAGGACGCGACGGCGAGAGAGACAGGCAGGTGCAGCACGGGCAGCAGGCAGGGGCATCGAAGAGCACGGGGCAGCGAACGAGCCTCCCCGCAGCGGCACACCTGCTGACGCCCTCCTCCTCCAGAGCCTCACAAGGGTCCACGACTGCTGCCAGGGAACAGGAGGTCCCTCTCCACGGGGCCTCCGATAGCTTCTGTCTTCGGCGGCGAGCGAGGGCGGGAATTGAGAGAAGGAGAAGGCCCTCTCAGAAGGTTCGGAGGTCCCCCCGGCCTTCTAAGAAGTTTTCCAAGCCTCTACCGAAGACAGCAACAAGAACCTCTCAGAAGGCGCGAGGGCCGCCATCTGAGAAGGCCTTCTCCTTCTCATGTCCCCCCTCGCTCGCCGCCGATACATGCTCAAGTGGAGGCAACACACACACACACACACACACACACAGATTCAACACGAATGTGCTGGACAAAAGCAGCACCCCAACCGAGAGTTCTTCAAATGCACCTGACACGGCAGTGTTCGCAAGAGCAGACGGATGACGATCCGCCAAGGTTGTCACAATCGTGTCACGTGGATCCCAGAATGTGTTCGATGGCACGCACTGGCACGGACTTGGGCGGCCGGAGATTGCCCAAGCGGAGGGACGGATCGTGCTGATAGTCGTGGTTACCGTAGGTGGTGTACCACGGCACGGAGCGCAGCTCTGGCGCGTACCTGTTTCTCCAGTGCTTGTCCCACTGCGGGTCCGACCTGACCGGAGCGCGTGCCTGTCTCTGCTGCCCCCCCTCCGCCTCCTCCTGCCTCGCACGCATCATGCCCCTCACCGTACTAGTCACCCAACACTCCCTCCATCCCCCCCCCCTTTGCCGCAGCTTGCTCCTAACGATCCGCCTCCCCTCCCATGCAAGGATTGGGGGAGGAGGAGGAGGAGGAGGAGGAGGAGGAGGAGGAGGAGGAGGAGGAGGAGGAGGAGGAGGAGGAGGAGGAGGAGGAGGAGGAGGAGGGAGGAGGAGGAGGAGGGGGGGGGCCAGCGTAAACCCAATGTGCATCACAGCTGCTGCTGCAGTGCATCCTCCGTCCGCAGGTCCACGCCTCGCCGACCCCTGCACGCAGTCCTCCTCACTGCGCCCAGCGGCCCCCTCCTCTCCTCCTCCTCCTCCCTCCTCCTCCTCCTCCTCCTCCTCCTCCTCCTCCCCCCCCTCCTTCCGTAGCCATTTTGGCTCAAGCCTGCCTTGGGCCCCCTCTGACCCGTGCAGCAGACCGTTTGCAACGGCGAGCTCGCGCGGCGCCGAGGGCCGAGCCCTGCTTTGAGAATGGGCCGCCCTCCTCAGCGTGATCAGCGCTTGCAGAAGGAGTGAGGGGCAACGACGGTAGGGAATGGAGCTCTATACACCGGCGCTTCCTCCGGCCCTGCATTCGAATCTGCACTGGAGAGGGGATGCTGGTGTATACGGGACCCTGGTGTGTACATTTTTCGTTGTTTCCCCGGGACATCGGGGAAACAAGTATACACCACACCACCCCAGCGTCATCCTCGACCCCCAAGAAATCCTGGGATTGAAAAACAGCCCGCCACTGGTAATGTATATGTTCCAGTTTCCGAGATAGGGGGGGACTGGCATAGGGGGGGATGCATCGACCTGGAATCGGGGATACATCACCGATAGATCGGCGATGGAGCCCCCGATGGTGAATCCGCACCTTCCTGGCCGGGTTGGGCTATCAGACCCCTATCGGCGATCAATGGGCGATTGGGGGTCGAAGCATCCCCCCTATGCCTATCCCCCCCCTATCGTTGCCCCTGAAGGAGGCGGAGGAGGACGAGAAAGGCGGAAGAGGAGCAGCAGCAAGAGCACAGTCGGGCCGCGGAAAAAGAAGGAACGCAGCCATTGTTTTGGGCCCTTAAGAGCGCCTCGGTGCCCGAGGAGGGCAAAGAAGGAACAGCAATGGAGGAGCCTCACAGGGCTGAACCTGAACGGTGTTGTTCGTTTTCGTGCTGTTTTCGTGTTCCCTCGCTTTTGTCTCGAATCCGCCTTTACCTCAAAACGAGGTCGAAACGAAAACGGCCCACGAAATCGCCAACACACACCGTTGAGGTCCCGCCCTGGAGCCTCAGGAACATCGAGCCCCCTCTGGGGCCCCCCAAAGGTTGGCCGCCTCCGACACCCTCGCGGAGGTGCCGCACGCGAGCAGCACGGGCAGACCGCGACAGCCGACGCAGCGAAAGAACATGCATCGGGTCGGGCGAAAGGGGGGGATAGCAAAGGGGGGGGTTTGAGAATCAGCTCACGTAGCTGATTTGCCCGGCGCCTCCCGGCGCTGGAGGCGGCGATGTGTCGAGGAATGGGCCCCTCGGTGGGGCCGAAACCAGCTGCATGCAGCAAATTTCGTAACCCCCCCTTTCCCAATCCCCCCTTTTCGCCCGGCCCGAATGCAGGACCGTGGGAGATCACGACAGGAGCTGCGGGCCCCAACCTCTCGGCACCATCCGAGCCGGGTCGACCTGCGAGGGCACAGGGGCCCGAGACCGGGCGAAGACGCCCGCCTCAAAAGTACCCCAGCGGAGCACCCAAAGAGCAGCAGAGGTGGAGAGGTGGGCCGAGGAGCAGGTGGTCGGCAGCAGGGGGCAGCGGAAGCACAGTCACATGTGCACCGTAGTGCGTATGCTTCCTATCAGGGATGGAGGCCGTCCACACCAAGTGTAGCCGACATTCAGGCGAGCACGACCAAAGGATCATCCAGGGTGGCGGCCTCGGGGGTTGCCGAACGCGTCCCGGGCCCCAGGGTTCCCCCAGGATTCCCAGGAAGGCCTAGATGGCCTCTGGAGCACCCCTCGCGAGGCCCCGAAGGCCCCCGAAGCTGCCGAAGGGCGCGAGCGGCCAGAACGGCGCGAACGGCCAGGACCACTTCTGGAAACGTGCCTGTCGTCGGCGGCGAGGCAGCAGCGCTGCTCCAGCGGGGAGCGATCGGGGCGACCCAAACGCGAATTGGGCGGCATGCAGGAGGGGAGGGACAAGACAGAGAGGGCGGCAGCGGAGGACGCACGGAGACGGAGCGCACTCAGACGTGGAACGGTTCCACACTGAGCGCGCCGGCGCGGCCAGCAGCGGCAGCGGGGGCCGTGGCAGCAGCGATTTCTGGAAACCCCCGGGTGGTGTGCGGCACGGGAGCCGAGCAGGGGCGGCCTAGAACTCCGGCGTCGCGAGCTTTTCGCCACGTGGACCTCTGGACGATGACCAGTAAGCGTACCCCTGACCCTTTGGGAGGGGACCTGAGCTAGGAGGGCCAACGACATTAGGGATGGGGGGTCTTCCCTGCAGATGCATCCAACCGAACCGCCCAAGCGTATGATCCCTCATCCGAAGATGGGAACATAAATGAGGCCACGTCTTCATCGCGTCGTTAGGATTAGGTGTTCTTTGGTTCTGGATGACCAGAGGCCTGGACCTCCAAAGGTCTGAGCGCCCTTTTCCCGGGGACTGGTCCTTCATCCCGCGGGCCGTCTGTGGACGGTACGGTCACATGGCCTGGCGAAGGCCCCCAGGAGCCGAAGCTTTGCAAGACCCTTCTGTGCTTCATTTCCCAGCGAAGCGCTGGTTTGGGCCACCCCCGGCTCCTCTCTTTTTGGCGGCGCGAGAAGGGGCTGAGGGAGGGAAAGGCTTCTTGGAAGCAGGGTGTTTCTAAGAAGCCTTCCAGCCTCCCCCCACTCCCCTCTGCGCGTGGCCGATCTCGCCACTCCTAATACCATCTCGATGCGGCAGGCCAAACATTCGGGCTCCTGCTTTGGGGGAGCCGCCAGGCAACGCGTCGCCACAGACTACGTTACTTTCACCCAAACATGCACAGACGGGAATACCAGGAGCTGAGGAGCCGTGTTCTGAATCATTCGCGAGAACTCCCGTGGCCGTCACCGCCCATCCCCTTTCCCTCAACCCTCCCTGATCACGTCCCGACTCTTCGCGCCGCCGCCGTCTGGGAATTCGCCACTCCTAAGCATTCTCAGAAGGCGCCAGCGCGAATCGTGACGTGACTGGCCTCTTCCCCCCGGGGATCTACTGCCCGGAGTCAATTCAGACCCGGGTCAGTCAAACTTTGCGGGATCATGCAGGATCCTGCACCAAAGACGGGCCAGTGCGCCCCTCGCTCTGCAGGATCATGAAAGATTTGGCGCTCTGACTGACCTCCGTTTGCCACACCCCCTTCTCTCGAACCCCGATCCCCCCCCCGTCAGGTCACGCCAGCTGCCGCCAAGGGATAATGAGCTGTCTCGACATGCACAGACTATGAAGAAACCTCCGCGCCCGAGGAGTTCTCGCAGGGAGGGCTGGAGGCCCAAGAGCCCCGACGCCTCACGACCCCCAAAGGCCTCGGCCCCAAAGGCCTCCATCGATTCCTCAGGACGTCGACCCCAAAGGCCCCCACCCGTCCCTCATGGTGTCGACACGATTCGTTCCAAAACGTCGACCCCAAAGGCCTCGACCCGTTCCTCGCGACAGAATTTTCTTACTGTGCCGTCTGTGGCGGGCCCCGCCGAACATAGAAGAGCACCATCCGTGGTGATCGGCTCATTTGAGCAGTGACCGACCGCCGTGGCATTCCTGTAGTCCTGCCACGAGATGCTCTTCGAAACCAAGAATGGTTTAATCACACAAACAATGGTTTTAGAACATGAACCCGATGTGTTCGAACAAATCATTCTCAACCAAAAATGTTCTAAGAATATTTCCTGGAAACCACACGACAAGTTCTTATAACACTGTTTGGTAGGGCTATAGGCGAGCCAGGACGCTTCGCCACTGCTTGATTCATGACTCGATGGGGTCTGGGGGGGGGGGGGGGGGGGGGGCACGGCCAGGGCGAGGAAGCGGGAGAGGAGGAGGAGGAGGAGGAGAAGGAGGAGGAGCAGGAGGAGGACGAGGAGGAGGAAGAGGAGGAGAAGGAATAGTTCAGTACAGTACTCAAGCCCTTCAAGACCATCCCCTGACTGTTGCACTCTGGCTCGGGCTGGGGCTCGATAGACATTGCTACGCCACCCCTTTCATCATTTCGCCTAACAAGGCAACCATGCTGCTGCCGCAACACCTGACGTTCTGCAAAATTCTGCTGCGCAATCATCAACTGCACAACCAAGCATGCACGTACAATGACACGATAAAACGCACGTGTGCAGATGTCTCAACACGTGAACTGATCAACTGCATGGAATACACAGAGGAGAATATGATAAGGCGCGGGCCGCAGGCTGATGGCCTGCAGCAAGAGGCCCAGCACGAGGGCGTGGCCGTGGGGACTACTCACTGACTTCTCGCCTCCTCTGCGCTTCCCACTACGCTGGCGGGCCATGTTGTTGCGAGAGGCAAGGTTCATCTTCACATCTCCTCCCATTCCTCGAATGGCTTCGCTGATCCACTGTTCGACTGGAATCCAAAACTGCATCATCTCTAGACCTCCACGGGGCTGATCATGAGGCCGTGCACTGGGGGTGTCGGGATCCTCGGGGTCCTCCTTGAGTTTTGCTTCGGGCTCGGCCGCGACCCCGTCCTCGTAGGGCAAGGGAATATTGCCATGCAGCGCGTACGTAATGCGACTCTTCTGGGGACCCATGGCTTGTCGAAGTTTGGGGGCGCCGTTAGCTCTCGAATCCATGATGCCATCTGCACTGGAGCCGGGCGCCCCATCCTTAGCGCAAGCCTTTTGCAGCCTGATGCGACCGCTTTCATCCGTGACGATGTATCCTTGATGCTGTAGTT